AATCCTGCCCAGACATGAGCTCAGTGATTGAGGTGAGAACTGAGCCTATGGGAGACAGCCCAAGGTCCTGGGGATTAAACACTAGAGTTCACGTGAAGAAAGACGATTCCCGTGTGAGAAATTGTGATTTATATTGCAACAGCTTTAAAGCTTTCTGCAGCTTTCCCCAGAGCGAATGCTTGGTGATAACACTGTCCACAACACTTTTAATGGTAAAAATAATTTATTAAATAATAACATTCTGGTTTGACTTTGGTGGTATACCTATGTGTGTGCATGTCTGAAAAGAGAGAACAGTATCATTTTGTTTGCCCAAACATTTCCCCCAAAGTCAAGACTGTTTAATTAACATAGTTGCTTCTAGTATTTAATACTGTGTCATCACAACCTGAATCAGCCCCATTTCTTCTTAAATGTGAGTAATTCTGAATATCTGCTGATGTCATTACATAGCTAAAACCTTCTAATACAACAGGATCCAGGCACTGTCCATAATCACTCCTCTAGAAAGTGCTCTGAAAACAGCCAGGCTTTTTTTAGTGAGTACCAGATGCTTTCTGTCCTCACACTGTTATGTGCCTGAGCTCTCTTAATTTCATGCAGACCCATGCACCAATTTAACTAAAGCAAAGCCTAGTCCAAGACTTAATAGAGTGGGACAGAATGGCATTCACAAGCAGTGGTAAATACAACCATTACAGAGCAGGCTCCAGTGTCTCAGCACATGCTTGGGCTGTGTCCAGGCTGTTTATTACCTCACAGTGTCAACACCATGGCCTTGGTGTTGGTGGCTGACATACATTTCCATGGATGGTGCCTTCTGTCTCATATCAAAGATTGGAAGCATGTGGCCGGTCGGCCCCCTCAACACACAGTGGGCTCTACCACCACATCTTGGCAGGAATACCAAAGAGAGTACCGTTCAAGAGGCCAATCCATGATGAGTGCTGAAAAGAGGGGAGAGAGAGCAGAGCACAGGCTCTCACTTGAAGTATTACCAGAGCCAGGCTGCTCTTTAACACTGCTCTCAGATCTCCCTCTACTGAAGTCTAGCTGGAGTGAATTGTGCTGAAAAGGCAAGGCTGATATGTTGTCTCAGCAGCAACCCCTCTCATCCTTCTTCCTTCTGGTTTGTCTGAAGCACCATCAGTGTTAATAGTGATAGTGAGAGATCATTTGCCATACACATAGTGATCCAGAAAAGCATTACTTTCTCGGTAACAAACTCATTTAATCTCCTTATTTGCCATTTAGGCCAATCATTAAGTGTTATGTCTGCCTCACAAAGAAACACGTTCTTTAAACATGCAGTAACTGATTTTTTTGGCCACTTGGGGCAGCGGAAACAAGTTGTAAACAAAACACTGACATTTATCACATTTTAAGTTAATGTAGCAAAGTTGTTCGCAAAGAGTTACCTAATTACAGACCAAAATTAGTGTTCATTTGTAGTCGTGTTTCTATCCACCTGGAAACTGTAGGTCCAATATTCACACTCCTTTAGCTCTGTTTTGGTCTCAACCAACTCCTGAGGAAATTATATGACTCTTTAGCAGTTAAATCCTCCACTATGTCCACCAACTAGTCGCTCACTTTTTCTGTGTATGCTGTATCGTGCAGGGCAGGTAGTGTACAGTGGGGTTTTAGGGCTTTTTTGCTGAAAACAGCTGCCTGTTCTGGCTGGAAACCAGGTTGATGAGAGCAGTGAAAGGGAACTAAAACATAGAGCTATGGGGAACTGCAGCAGAAATTCTCTGTGGATTCGTCACTACGAGCAATCTCCTTCACATACAAGGAGTCATGTGATCCAGTGTTAAAATAAAAATCTATTATAGCTGCCTTCATTTTGGCTTGTATCAACACACAAATGCACAAACACACTTGTACACTTACACATACGGAGCTTACTTATGCTTGCACATAGGGGATAAACCAAAGTGCTCAAATACAACACAATAACAATGAATAGGACAAAATAAAGTAATTCTCTTGAGGAAATTTGAAAAGACTGATTTACCTTTGCAATAAAACAGCAGCTCACGTGCACTTCCTCAGGCTTCAGTACAGGTGCAGCATATAATATACAAATGGAAAGATAGATTGGCAAATGGACACCCAGAAAATCAGGCAAGGCAGAAAACAGACAGAGACAGCAAACTCTTACATGCTACAATACTACAGGAATGGGAAAGGGTAAGAACATGCAGGAAACACCATATAATAAATCTGATGAAGCCTTGTGAAACAGCTTCATGACCAAACATCAAGTCCAGTTGCCTTAGTACGCCAAGATAAATCTACAGAGGCCAACATTCCTGCCTCTCTCTACCGTATCTGCTTTTTCTCCATCGTACATGAACCCCATACATGACAGTAATAAGTCTGTCATTGTGGAATGTTAAAGCTCACAACGCAAATCTAATAACGATGAGGATTCTCTAGTGAAACCCTGGTGGCGCAGTGTGCACATATAGATATACAGGTTTCCCAGGTAGTTGTAACCTTTCGTATTAATTATGTTATGCTGGAATGTGCCATACATATTCTACTGTGGACGGACAGCAAGTTTCCTTGCTGGTCTGTCAAGGAATAATAATAGTTAAGGTTTTTGGGAATGTCCCATTGCTCAATTTACTGGTTAAGTGAACACTTTCAGTATAATGATGGCACTATCCAAAGTAATAAGTCTGCACTTTTCATAAAATAATGTTATTATTATTAATAGTCCATAGATTTCTACAAGACAATGTCATAAGTTTAAGTCTTACATAATATTATTTATGATATAACAATGAAACTTAGACAGAGTGTCTGTTACTGTACCATTACTGTAGTCAAACCTCACTCAAGATTTTCATATAGACCAATTTGAATTATTGTTTTGAATTAATATTTTTTAATTATTTTGGACTGAAGAAATACAGAAAAGCAAATGTTAATTATGACAAGGACCTAACAAGACTTTCCAAAAGGATTCTGAAACTGAATTTTATGAATAAGAATACAGCTAAAATGCTCTAAAATGACTTAACAACTGGGCTGAATCCCTTACAACAAAGAATAATTGGTGTATGTCTCTGCACCTAGCAGAGGTTCAGTGGAGGAACCTGGCTGAACACAGGAGATTGGCTGACTCTCTCCTTGTATAATGATTCTGGCTGAGGAGTGAGGTTAAATCTGTCTCAAGAGATGAGACAAGGAAAAACGTTTAAAGAGAAGAGCAAGATGAATTCTTACTGAGAGGGATGAAAGCACAGGATGTGGAAGAGAAAAAGAAAAAACAGAGGTATTCTGATTAGATCTAATGTCTCTGTTCCCAATCTGTCACTCCGATGTGTGAAAACCAAAGAGCCCATGTCAAAACAAACGCAAGGGAGAGCTGCCTCTAAGAAACAATGACATGTTCCTGTGAAATGGTAAAACCCCAGGCAGGCAGGCACTTTCTCCTGGGAAAGTCAAGGAATCAAACAGGAGAGCATCTGCTGTGTGTATGTGTGTGCATGTGTGTGTGTGTGTGTGTGTGTGTGTGTGTGTGTGTGTGTGTGTGTTTGCAAGCATGTGGGGGGTAGGAACCATATATCCTCTGTTCACCATTCTGTCTCACCGGGAATATTCCAAAACACTAACAACCATCCTCCTGTTTGCGTGTTGACGTAGACCGCAGGCGTTTGGACAGTAGAAAGAACAGACGCTGACGAGACAATGCCCAGAGACAAGGGGGGAGATCAGGTTTTGTTTACTGCTTACTGTAAGTGTTGACCATTTAATGATGACAGATCCCAGGTTCAGACTGTTTAGTTGCACTGTAGGTGTTATTATTTAGAAGAATGAGTCTGAGGTTAGTTAGTAAGCTCTCAGGTACTTAAACCCTCCCCTCCCCAACCCTAAGTAATAATAGCTGATTCAATACATATCTAATGAATAGTTTGATATTTGGGGAAATTCACTTAGCCTACTAGGGAGTTCGATGAGAACACTGATACCACTTTGATAACTGTACAGTACTGTAATTATAGGGCTACAGCCAGCAGTCAGTTAGCTTAGCACAAAGACTGCACACAGGGGGAAAAAGGTGGCCTGGCTTTATCCAAAGGTAAAAAAATCTGCCTTCCAGCACATCTAAAGTAGCCAGGCAACTAGACTCCAGGAAGTTACTGCTCCCACCCAAGAAACAGTGTGGGACATAACCCCTCATAAAACAGCAAATTGTCATTTTTACAATTCAGTCATTCTACAGATTAAACAAATGACATATCCTATGTTAATTAGTGAGCTTTAGAGGTGCTAGTACGGTGATTTTGTTACCTTCGGACAGAGCCAAGTTAGCTGTTTCTCTCTGTTTCCAGTCTTTAGGTTAAGCTAGCAAACCAGTTGCTGGCTGTAGCTTCATATTATTTACCTTACAGATATAAGAGTGGTATCAACCGTCTCGTCTAACTCTCCATCAGGACTCAAAGAGCCTTTCTCTATTACCAAAATGTTGAACTTCTCACTTTAAGTTGCTTGTCACAACTAAAAACTAATTTGAGTAATCTAATTACTTAAAGAATTATTGAACTACTATTCCTAAAGTGAAATATTGTCATATTATGTGACAACATTTGTTCTGGGCTTTTACTTCCTTAACCATTTGAAACCAGAACTGCACATACCCTTGTTAACATACAGTTTTTTATAGAGTGGAGGCTCAGCTAGGTTAGCCACAGCACTCCAGGCTCTAGCCTTCAAAGGAAATCATTCCTCCCAGAGAGCACTTCTTCTACCTTTTACTGCTCAGAGACCCCCACAGAGCAGCCTCATCCAATCATAGCTACACTACACGCTCATTCTGCCTTTGCAAAGTGAAAGCATAAGTTCTGAACTGGGCCTATTAAAGCCTAAACAACATGTTGCACACAAAGCTGCACTCAGCTCAATGCTGTATACTGTATGAATGCCTGCAATGCAAAGGAACGGAGCAGGTTTATAAACACGACCAACTTTTTTATCTGAAAACTCACCATATTGGCATTGCGTCCCTTTGAAGCCCAGTGGACACTGACATATCTGATCTCCAGTCTCTGCACAATGGCCTCCATTGAAACATGTATTGGCACCACACACCCCTGCAGATACCACATTACATTTTATTTTATTTATTTACTTTATTATACCAGGAAGTCCTTTGAGATATATATCTCTTTTCCGTGGGAGACCTGGCCAAGACGGCACAGTTACAGTTTAAATAGAAATAAAAACACAGTTGAGTGAAACAAACATCACATATCAAAGACAGGGACTAAAATCAGTTCACATGAGGCAGTGACATTTCTTAGCTAAATGGAGTTTTAACATGGCTTTAAATTCATTTAATGGGATAAGATCATTTAGATGTATATCACATACCATAAGGCTGCTGATGTTTCCATGTTTGTGTGCATTTCTATGTGTATGGATGATAAAGATCCCCATCCAGTCAGTGGGCTGGCTACATTCCTGCCTAATGTAATTGACATTTCTCCAGTTTAATGCCTTATGTGATACATATGCAGGCAAAATGCTATTACTCACTATGCAGACAGCCCATCTCTTCACCTTTCCGAGTCCAGCCAGGGCAACACTTGTAGACTGTGTGTGACTCCGTGCTATACACCTGTCTGTACACTGTGTAGTATGCTGTCCTGAGAAGGAGAAATGATGTTATAGTACACAATTTGATTTTATGGAAGTTACATTATAAGTGTATGCATATTGATAAAGATAATATGACCTGTAAAGAATAAAATATTTATGATTTCAACTATAACATTAAATTTGATATCTGTTTTATTCAAATGTCTATAAATAGCAAGACCTCACCTCATTATATCAATTATATGTGTACTAATTCACAGTTACTTTTCAGAATGGAACCAGTTTTTCATATTAGATGAACGTGAACCTAGTTTGTGACTTTTTGATGATCTCTGATCCCACTGAGCAGGCAAAGAGAAAGAGAGGCTCTCTTTCCATCAACAGTCATTCCAGTTGTGCTTATAAATGGCAAAAACATGGCAATGGCACTTGACCTGAAACACTTGCAGTGGGTCAATGTATAAAACACTTCATCATGACTTAACCTACGGCAGCTGTACTTGTGAATGATGTCTTCATGGAATAGTAATGGTCAGTAATACAGTGTTGTGTGTGCTGTGGAAGAATTTTTGCTCTTACCTTCTCTCGTAGCCCATACACCATCTGTGGCTGGTACAGCCCTGTTTCCACACCTTAACCATCCGGGTAAAAGCTTGCACACAAGGCTGACGGACCCCCAACATGGACATCTCCTGGTCAGCACAAACATTTGGCCTGTACATGGAAATCACACAAAACCGAGAAGGAGACAAGATGCAATCAAAAAAATTGCTGAAAAAAAAATCTGAAGTACATGTAAATAAAAACTTATTATATATTATTATATTATATGACGTTCAAGACCAGCATGTGAGTAGGCAACGTTTTTTATTGTTGAGTGAGTAGAGAGGGAAGCTACAGAACTCCTGATGGTGGCCTAAGTCTGTTGCAGTGCCAATGTATTCCAGCAGACATGAATTTCCACATGTTCAGTTGCATAAGCATCAGCATCATCACACACATTGTTAAACAATTTTACAGCTTCCTGTGTGGAGCAATATGCTTAAGGTCCAGTTTACACTTAAGGTCCAGGAAAAACACAATCTATGGTTTGGACACTGCCTACAGCAGGCAATAAACAACCAATTAAATTCAACAGGAAATTGTTTTTTTTCTTCATTCATTGTTTGCATATTCATGTGCGTGCATGCATTCACTGACGTGTATGTTCCCTACGCAGCACAGAGGTTTGTACTCTGCATCTGTCTGTGTTGTCAGTGCAGGTATCCCTAACTATCCAGAGGTGTCCTCCACAAACCATCTGGCTTCAATACAGAGTAGCCTGAAGTTAATTAGAGGAAGTATTCGCCTTCTCCGGTAATTAAAACGATTCCTTCAATCATGCCCAGCACAGTCTATTTAAATTTGGAAACCTCTGGTAGAGTACTACACACAAAAAAAATCACATTCCATTGGAAGCTATTATGCAGAAGCACATTACAGCAGTGCTGTAAACCCCATCAATTCTTGTATGGGACCTGAAAGAGCGACGCCTAGTGGGCACTGAACAGAAAAAACTACAAAGTAACAGAATTACAGACAAAAGCAAAAGTTAAACTATTTGTCAAACTTGGCTTTGACAAATAAACTTCTTTTTATGTAGGCTCTGGCACAAGTGTGTAGGCCTAATTACATTCTAATTTAAAACCATGTAAACGTAAAACATTCTCATTCACCTAATAAGTTAGTAAAATCCAGGCAAAGTGCAAATTAAAAACAGTGGAAACGTATAAAGCGTCACTTACATGTCAAGATGCAGCTCCAGAGATGATGCGATGTGCATGGTGCTGAATAATATCACACACAAAATATCTGGCAACATAATTTCAGTCGGTTACAGACACGGAGACAAGTACTCAATCGGCGCAGCCTCTGTGTCCATCAAATGAAGAGCATCCTGACATTTATGGAAGTCCGCCTTAAGACATGACTCAAACGTTGATGTTCGTCTTGCATTTATATTTCCCGAAGCCAGAGCTGCTTTCCCCGGTACTGGTTAAGTAGAGGGAAGACTTGTCTCATGTCAATCGCAGTCTTTGAATGGCTCCTAGTAAACGCACCACCCACAGTCACTAAGGGGCCACCTCCCAAAACCCCCCGCGAGATTGACCTGTGCATCTACTAGCCTATATTATTAACACACCCAGACATGCTTTTGGCTATTTATTGAATAAATGCATGATGTGATGTCCAGTTGTATCAAATGAAATTCTCGCCTAAGGGTTCTTATAAATATATCCTTGATTGAAAAGTTATATCCTCCTTATGCAGGAAATGAGATTGGATTAAATATAAGAAACACCACTGAGTATAATGCAGTCCAGTACATACCACAACACTAACTAAATAAATCTGAGGACAGGATAGGACATGAATTTATTGTAAGGATAAATCAATAAATGTTTAACATGCATAATTTATATGATGGCGTTCTGTAAGATATATATTTTATATTAAATAGCTATTAGTTCAGATTAATAACTTTATTGATCCATACAAGGAAATTCAAATGTCCCAGCTGAAAAATGAAGAAGCCTATAAAAAACAGATGCATAGTATAAATAAGTAACAGACAAACTAGAATACTATATACATTATGAATATCTACCACATACAATACGAGTCATGTAATTAGGAGTACTGTTGAGAACTTTATGATAAATAAATTCGAGTAAATTCAAATGATTGGTTACCCTTATTGTTTACACATCGAACCAAAAAATATATAAACTTGGACAAAATGAAACATCAGCATCTCATGTAATGTAATGATAAAGTTTATTGTAATAAATACAGTGATGTAATGTTCCTGCTTTTGACTTCAGCGCTTGGTGCAAGCGACGTCACTTCCTGCTGAGGTTTGGCACTTCCTGTTTGGAGTACAGTCCTGAGGAAGAAGAGAGGTGGTCCTCTCTCGTATCAACTCAAGGAGATGCTTGACAGCACCATCGTCTGTATTTCCTACATTTAACTGTACCATTCGGAGTATATTTAGACGTTTTTATTTCCTTCAGGGTTTGATATATATATTGTTCTTTGGAGAGGTAGCTATCCTTAGCGGGAAACGAAACGGTAAGATATCGAAACTAACGCGCTAGCTTGAAATGGCGCTAATGTGTTGTTTAGCTGTCTAACCAAATCTAACGTTAGCTGATCTCCGGACAGTAACTTAAACCATTGAGATAGACAGTTGCAGTTTACAAATTACTTCAGATATTGGTGATTGTTCGTGTTCAAAATCAGTCAAGTAACTATTCTGTATTAACGTTAGTTTCACTAGTTTCACAGTATTAGCCAATTGTATATTGTTGTTGCGATTAGCAATTAGTTAGCATTCATGTAAAAGAAAATACATGCCCTGCCAATGTCCAGAGTAGTTCATGACATCCCCCTTTGTGTCTGCCTGCAAAGTCAGAAGACGTTGTCATCATATGATAGTGTCAAGAGCAAATTTCCATCCCACACTACTGCCTACAGCTCATCAGATGCACCAGTAACGTTATCTCTGAGGAGATCCTTGAAGAGATTCTTGTTGTGTGATATGTGTGTAGTAGTTGCAGTTTAATAAGATGTGCCAGTGGGTATGCAGCATGACAAGTTGTGTGAAGCCACAAAGATCTCTCATTGGCATGTTGTATGCCCTGTGTGACCTTTTTTTGTGACTAACAATTAACTCTGTGTTGCTGAACAAACACACAGCCAGATGAACGGAGCAGCATTCCCTTCCCCCACGGCAGAGATGGCGGAGATGAACCGTATCCAGTATGAGCTGGACTACACCGAGGGGATCAGTCAGAGGATGCGCATCCCTGAGATGCTCAAAGTGGCTCCTCATTCCCACCAGGACCCTGATGTTGGATTTCAGGAGGTCCCCCATAGTGTCATAATGCAAGTCCCAGAGAGAATTGTGGTTTCAGGTTAGTTTGCTGCATTCTGTCAGTGTACGGGCTGTGTTTTCTGTGCTGTTATTAAGTATTATAGGAGTGTTCAGTATATTATTACACAAACTCTGCTGACTGTAATCTAGCTATTACATGACTTTGTTTGAGAGATTCTAGATATCTCTCTATCAGTGGCTCAGGACTTTGGACACCCTTCAGGGGCCCCTTTACTGATCAGCATTAGTATCATGTGAATTATTTAAGACTGAAAATGAAATCTAGAGGCATATTGGTTCACTATGTGAAAACAGAAGTGATTATTCAGCTTAAAGATAGGGTTGGATGATTTACTTTAGAGGTATTTTTGTTATATTTATTGAAGTTCTCTTTAAATCCCAACAGCAATCAACATATGAAATGCTCTGACACAAAATAGGAAAACATCTAGTATCTGTGGCTGTCGCAGAACTGTATCAATCATCCAATCATGATTGGCTGGCCTACCTGCCTGTCAACTCATTTTGGGGAAGTGATTTGAAAGGAAGGCCTGAAGGGACGGGGTGGGATATTTTCGGTTGGATACTGTCAGAAGCTAGCTGCGTATCTACTCCAGCTTTAAGCATTCAAATCTCAGTACATTGTTTAAGATAAGTGAAGAATAAAATGCATCAGTCTCTCATTCGGGACTCCAATTCACACCTTCCTTTGTCAGGAGACAGTAATGACCCCAGTTCCCCAGACCCAGAGATCTGGACCTAATCCAGTCAACACCACTAGAAACCCTGTCCCTGAAGACTCCACCCAGAGTCCTGACCCTCAATGAGCGGCCCTTGGACTTCCTGGAAGAGGAGCAGCGGGCAGCTCCAGACAGCGAGGAGGTGGTAAGTGATAAAGCAACAAATTACCTATTACCAAGGACATTGCATAAAATTGACTTAAACAATTTATAAACCATAACCCAAATAAATTGTTTTTGTAGTTGCGGCCCCAAGGACGATTACGGCGGGAACGCTCAGCAAGTGAGAATGCAGCTGCCCGTCATAACAGTCAGCTGTTACGCAACGATTCAGCGTGAGTATTGGCCTTGGACATGCTGTCATTAGCTTGGTACCGGCTCCATCTTATCTCCTAAATGCATGTGCCTGCATGTTACATCTTTGCTTTGGTTCTATGTTTTCTTCCGTCTCTTCGTCTTTGTGATGTAGCTGGTTGTCTGTGGTCGCTGGTGTTGTAAGCTGTTTTGTTGTGAGAACGTTTGGTGCTTTCGGTGTTGCTGCAGAAGCCAGATGTTTTTGTCGCTGACAATAATCCATTAACACCATGATTTTAAATGTTTGACGCACTAATCCGTTTGGATTTTATCACTTCCAGATTTTAAAAATATTTAATGATGTCAGTACTACTGAAAAAGGATGAAAGATGTTGCTGTTTAGTTTGTAAACACAGTTGAAGACCACACTCCCCTCTCAGCAACACTGTAGGACACAAAACAACACACACACAAGCTGCTCAGATGTCAAGCACACACAGATTAGCTTACTTATTTTAATGTAGGCCTACTTCACACTACATGTGAAAAATTATAAATATCCAATGGGGACTTCCATATATGAACAATTTTATAATTATTTGGGGGGGAAAACACTTTCCTGATCATAACTGCATGTGTTGTCCTGGTACTACTGATAAGCTCACCAGCTCTAGTGTGGCTTGAACAGTGAATAAGACAGTGGTTTTTCTTGAGTAGTCTAAGCAGGATTGGAACAATTGTCTTGCCAATGCCTTTTCCGTTTCTGTTTTTTGTTGGGTGTATTATATGTTAGTAAAGCGCTGTTAGTGGTAGGCAGATTGAATCTCTAGCTATTATTACTAACATGAGTTTTACTTAGTAAAGTTGAGGCCAGATTTCCTTATTTCTCTCCCTCTCCTTCCTTTCTTTCCTCTTTGGTCCTTTTCTTCCCTTTTCCTCTGAATTTGCTGCTCTTTATGGTGGGCACTGAGCAGTGTGACCCCTCCTCCCCCGGCCACTGTCCACCCTTGCCCCTCTCTCACCACGACTGAGGAAGAACACAACCTGTACAGCGCTAACGGTGTTCTATCTTTCATCCAGTCCACTACACGTCGGGCTTACCAGCAAGTCCTGGAGGTCTTGGATGAGAACCCTCGCAGGTGACCTCCCAATCATCTGGTCATTATTTGCTTTTAAAAAAAGAAATTGGAAAAAAGGCAACACAGACTGCATCAACTGTCTTTGCTTATGCAAAGTCTCATTGAATCTGCTTTGATTTCTGCTCGTCTGCACCCTGTTTTTAGGGGAAGGGGCTGTTGTGTCTGAAATGTTGTTTGGCCCTTAGTTGTGTTGACAAGTTGGGAGTGTTTGTGTGGTAGGCTTACATGAGACATGATCTTACTGACTATTTGTCACATTCATTAACAATATTAATACAGCGTGTATTAATCAAAATGTAGCCATTTTGCTATTGCTACCCTTTAAATGGGTTTGGTCCTTGACATTACTGCTAGACATATTTCAGTTATTGAAGGATTAGATGACTGTGCTGACCCACTTGTTTAAGTTGGACTTGGCCTTGTCAACCATTTTAAACAAGCTGACAATGTGCAGAGCATATTAAATAACTTTACAGAATTTATATCGGCGTAGAAAGAACCTTAAAATACTCACAAATTTCAGCTTACACCTTCCCGAGGAAGGCATATGGCAAAAGCAGGGAAAAAGGCCTGCCTGCTCTGCCCACTTCAGAGGTGTGATTTACAAAACTTTCCTCCACATTCTTAGCCTCATGTCTGGCAGGGAAAAGATTTCTGAAAACCAGATAAAGAAATGACCAAGCAGTCTCATTTAAGAGTGCTTGTGTTAAATAAGACCTTGTAAAAGGCCCAGAAAGATTAGCCTGTTGCTTCCCAGGAAAAACGCAACAAGTATAGTTACGCGAAAAGGACATGCAAGGTGTGTGTGTGCATGTATGTATGCAACACTGTACCGTGTGTATGTTGCTCTTATTTTTCCCTTCTCCCAACCCTGTCTTTCCCCACCTTTATAGCAAACCATCACTGCGAGGGGGGTCGGCCTCAAGCTCCAACCCCCTGCATGAATCCAGGTAACTTCAGCCTGGCTATCTTCATTCTGATCCTTTTGTCCTCATTTTCCTCATCCTTTCCTACCTACCATTGTCATGTTGGGTCAAGAAAATAAGATCAGGTCCTGGTAGATTAAAAAAAACCCATCTATTTGAATGATGTCGCTATTGTGAAATTGCGCAATATATATCTAAAATGTACTAAATTATACCCTCTGCCCTGTTTGTACTGTGTAATTCTCAAAGAGACTGTTCTCTTTTCCAGGCTTACACTATCAACATATGAAGCCTCACTGGATGGGGGACCTGATGACATGACTGTGGTCGATGCAACAACACTTCGACGTCAGGTCAGTTCTTAATAAAATCTCCATCTTATGGTTCGAGAGCAAACGGTGGAACCTCTTTGACTGTGACTAAGACGATCTTTCTTCTTAAATTATTCATCTTTAGCTCATCAAGTTGAACCGGAGACTCCAACACTTGGAAGAGGAGAACAAGGAGAGAGCAAAGCGTGAGATGATCCTGTACTCAGTCACTGTAGCTTTCTGGCTCGTCAACACCTGGGTGTGGTTGCGACGTTAGAGCTGGCCTACGTTTCTGCCATCACCATGACAGAAGAACGTACTACCCCTTATTCAATGTGTCAAATGTTAGCTATGCGCTGCACTCAGTCCCTGTAGGAGGAGAAGACCGTGTGACACATGTGCCCAAGGCCTGTGGATCACAGGGCTGATATTTTGATTTAGTTTATTTAATACATGTACAGTTTTATTTTTTTACTCTTATTTCATCCGGTCTCGTGTTTTCTCATGTTTTGTTTTTATTACAAATCTTCTCGCTCCACGCTAAGCATGACGTGTTGTAAATATTTGTTCATGTCACTCAGAGCTGTGGAAAGAACCCATCCAGAGACACAGTACAGCAGAGTTTACCAAAATTGGAAAACGGAGCTGTAATGTGGAGATGTAACATGCTGAATATTTATTGCGGACAGAGTAATATGTGAGTTGAACCTGGACATGTAATGGAATTTAGTAAAACCATACATACGATGTTTTGTCCTGTGTTTTTATTGATGCATTAAATGAAATGCACACACATCACTATAATTCTGCTGATATATGAAAAAGAATATATGTCTCACACGTGTCTGACACTGGATTAAATGTAACTTTCTTTCCAGTTTTTATTTACGCTGGTTTTAATATTTTAATCGCAATTTCATTGTCTTTTTTTTTTCTTTAGATGCACTAAAAACTAACTGAAGTGTAGCCAGTGTACAGTTGATTAAAAATAATATATATTATTAAAAAGTTAACATCTCTTATCCTAATATGAAGGTATAAAGCTGTTATTGCAACTTAAGGAAACATTAAAGAGACGTGACCTGATGAAGTAAGGTTTATTCTGTTTTCACACAGTGTTACAATTAAGAAACATAAACAAACTGGCTTTAAAATGTTTAACACAAATATGCTGAACAATTTTCACTATTTTCAACAGATAAAAATATTACTACTTTTTTTTTTTTTTTTTTTAATTAAAGCAGGCTTTTCACACAGCTGGTCTATTGCCTGTCAGCACTAAGACATTTAATTTGAAGCACCTTGAAAGCATCATTCCAGCTCCTCAATCAGGCAGCGTGGTGGAGAAGAGGTTTGGTTTGTTTTGGACTTTCTCACTGGTTGAAAAAGCTGTGGCTCACAGGCATTCTCGTCCTCTGGATACACCAATGATGAAGACTTGTTAGAGACTCCAGTTGATTTGTTACAGCCACTCATAAAAAAGAGTAAATTTGTACCTGGACTGAAGGTGGTGATGCCCTCCCTCTGATTCCCAGTTGGTTCATCCTCACCGTTGCCTCCTGATGCCACCTCTACTTTTGGTTTGAACACTTGCTGAGGAGAGAACATCGACGTGAAGTCTTCTGTGTCCACGTCCTCCAGATCAGGCAGGTCGTCAATACACAGTGAGTGATGTAGTGGAAGGTGAATGGTTTCCAGTTGCTCTGCATCCTCCAGCTCTGTAACCAGTGGTCCGGGGACATGTGCTCGTACAACCTTGTCTGCTTCAAGTGGAGTCACCCTGACCAGAGAAGGCTGTTTCTTGTCAAACTGCTCACTCATGTATGCCGGCTCTCTCTCCGCATCATTTCTCATGAACTGGATTTGACGGGACTGGTTTTGTTTTTTATCTTCTGCTATTTTCTTTCCTGCAACACTTTCTTGCTCTTGTGCTGGATGCTCTGGATTCACCCCTTCTTTCTCCTCTCCGACAGGCTGCTTTACCTGTGATTTGTCCTGGTCATTTTTCTCTGACTGCTCTCTCTGCAACTTTTGACCTGGCTGTTCTGCATCTGGATGCTCACTGTTTGGCTGATGCCCCTGTGTTGACTGACGCTGCAAGAACTCTTCATGGGCATCCAGGCTGTCCTGCACAAAGGCTTGGATCTTCCCTCCATCAGTCAAAAATGGGTGTTGTTTTCTCACATGGAGTCTCCGGAGTAGTGGGAGCATCAGCCACCCCTGAAATAAAAACAGATTATTGTGTATAGTGATGCAAATCCACATTTACTCTGTGTATGTGCACTAGGTTAGTAAAAGTTAAAGCCAGTTCACCTTTCTCCTGTAGCTCTTGGAGACGCTGTCTCTTCTGGGCTTCACTTCGAATCTTTGCCATACCATCCAAGCTGTCCTGAATCTTTCTCCTCTCTCGTTTTCCCATTGCTCCATCTCTTTGCGCTCAGCTTCCAGCCCTCCCACTGCCCATGCCTCTGCACATGCCCTGTCTTTGAGGAACACAGGGCGATCATCGAGGAAGGTGAGTTGCTTGAGGCGCACGATCACGGTCTTCCTGTAGTTTGGGATCTTTTTCACCACCTCATTTCCCATTAATTCAGCACTCGCAGCTCTGGCATGGCCTCAAGAACACGGAGGATCTCAGGGTCACATAACAGATTGTGAGACATGTCCAGCACACTGATTGCCAGACATAGGCTCAGATGCTCTATGTCCCCCACAGTCTGCAGCTTATTGTGGGCAATCTGCAGAGTGCTCAGGTCGGGGAGGCAGGAGATGTGCTGTATGGTGTGTATGTAGTTGTTGGAGATATTCAGGGTGCAGAGCTTTTTCAGAGGTTCAAGGTTTTCCAGCTTGTTTATGAGGTTCTGCTGAAGGAACAAGCAGCGCAGATCAGTCTGGGCACCCAGGTTCTCAATGCGTTGAAAGCCATTACTTTCCAGCCAGAGACACTTCAGGCCTGTGTACTCCTCTAAGTTCTCAATGGTGGAGAAACCTTTGAAATGCAGATACAAGGTGTCATTCAGGCAAGGTGTTAAGTAAAGTTTGTTCTGCTTGCAAAGGTCTTTCAGAAATTCCTTGGTCATTCGTGGCCCTGAATATTTCCCCCTTTTCTCTTGAAGTGGGCTTTGAAGTTTGTTATTGTCCTTGTTTTCTTCAGCTCCATCCTTTATCACGGAATCCACTCCATCTTTGACGGCATCTCCACTTTCCATCTGAGTCGCTGTCGCTACTTTATCTCCCATCGTTTCCTCGACTTCAGCAGTGGACTACGCCGACAATATATTAAGTTAACAAGCAGGAGAAACAGATATACTTTCTACTTATTTTGTGTATGTATTCTAGCAGTCTGCAAAATTTATAGTCCCGTAAATGTCAATCTGAAGTCTGCTGTCTAAGCTATCGTTTACGTTTGTTTCCATGGTAACGCTTGGTCATTACGGTAGGAACGGTCTGGCTGACCGAATATTATTGTTTCTTGTTCCGTGTCGGACCGCTGTAGGTGTTGCACCGCTGTCAGTGGTCAACATGGCGTCCGGCTACATACTAAATCGTGGCGCGCTGATCTTAGGAATTCACTGCCAGCGTGTTTGCCGAAGCATATCGTTTACACAGGTTAGAGAGAAAAAGCGATGGATGAAAGCATACACATACCTCATGGCCAAGAAGTTAAAGCTCGAAGGACCTCCACCACCGAAACCACGGTGAGGCTAACGTTAGCTAACAAGAGTTCACTAGAGAGCGTCTCAAGGCCATGCATGCACTGAAGTTGATATATAAGACATTGTGTTTGTTCCTATAAGCCGATTAAGTAGACTTCATATAGATTCAATAGTGTAGTTACATTACAAACTTTGTCAGTGCAGACTTGTTAAGCAGCGTGTGTGTTGTTAAGTTTTCCAACTCAGGTGCGTTGCTAGGACCCAATGTGTGCCTCCAATTTGTTTTTGCATAATTTTATATTTAAGAATTTTGTATTAAGTATGAATTTTATCTGTCAGCTCAAATTATAGATTTTATTTTGTTGTTTTTTTACATAACCCCAACAGCACCAGTCAGAAGTAATAACCATTTTCTGTTTGACTTTCCTATAGCTCTCAACAGCCTAACTGGGATTACCATGCTGAGGTACAGGCTTTCAGCAGCCGCCTCAACGAGAGCTTCTCCCTAGAGCTACTGAAAACAGCCTTTGTCAATCCCTGTTACCTGCAGGCGGCGCAAGAGAGGAGGCAGGGGTTAGGCATGGACTCTGAGACCACCGCTCTCGTTTGAAAGACAATATTAAGCTGAGTAAAAAGGGTGCGTCTTTCACTGAAAGCTTCCTGACCGACTGGTGCAGGGCCAGCTTCCCGAGCCTGCCAAGTGAGGGGGTGGAGAGTATCGTAGGGCACCTCAGCAGTTCAGCAGTTGTGGCTTATGTAGCAAGAAATCTCGGCATTGAAGACCTCACCATGAGTGCAGAATGCCCTGTTCCCGATGATGTGCTTCATGCTACATTCATGGCAGTGGTTGGAACTCTACAGGAGAGCAGAGGAGCAGAGCGAACTGGATTTTTCCTCAGAGTAAGTGGCTTGCTGCAGTGGATCATGTGTTCCTCCTTTAGTTTCATCAGTAGGCTATATTATTTGTACGGCAGTATGACATATTTCTTTTTCCTCTCCCCCACCTGCACCTCCCCCCCCCTCTCTGTAGGATTTCCTGGTCACTCAGCTGATAGGGAAGGAACTGTTTGATATGTGGACAGTTGTCAACCCCATGGGACTACTGGTGGAGGAGCTTACTAAGAGGAACATTCCTCTGCCAGAGCCCCGCCTCATCCGGTCTGCTGGAGCCAGTACTGTCCTGCCGCTATACTTTGTAGGCTTGTACAGGTATGCATGCTGTTGTGGATGCTGTTATACAAAGTACAGCAAATGAAGATTTACTGTGGAGGGGGAAAAAAGGATGGAGTCAGAGCTCACATGTCCTAAAATCAATTTACATCACAAGTTGCACATTTGACATTTTAGTGACACGCAGATAGTTCATAAGACTTGATGGTTAAAAATGTTTTGTGTGTAATCTGACCATTTGACTTTTTTTGTGTGTGTGTGTTTTTTTTTTTTTAATCTGTGTGTTGATTCAGCGACAAGAAGCTTCTGGCTCAGGGTCCAGGAGAGACACTTGTAGCAGCTGAGGAAGAGGCAGCTCGCGTGGCCCTCCGGAAACTCTACGGCTACACTGAGAACCGCAGACCTTTTGACTTTTCTCCACCACAGAAGCATCAGCAGCCATTAATCCAATCAGTCAGCAGAAATTAATGAAGTAACAAGTATTTTACTGTGGACTACAGACTTGCTATGGACTATAGGGAGAATGTAAAGGAAAATAAGGTCATTAATCATGAGTGTAATGGTGCACATGTCAGGATTGTTTCTGTTGGTTATTTAAAAGTCAGTTCCCCCAGACAAAGGAGAGCAAAATAAGCCTTATTGTCCAAGTAAAAAGTGCGACTATAGTGTAAGATCCAGGTTTCCACTGTAGCCATCTCACAGAAATCTAATCTATGCGTCTGTGAATAAATTTGATGACATATTCAAGAGTAAAGTTCAGTAATAGATTACCTGGGCTAATAACCTATAGCTTTAGCAGTCCATGGCACAAAATAGACCTGATATGTTGTCGTCCTTGTAAATAATGCAATTGCCAACTTGTTTACTTGGTATTCTGTTAAAATATGTTGCTCATCCATAATAAAAAGTAATAAATATGTGTGTCATGACTCTGTTCATGGACACTTTTTGGATCATGTCTATTTTCGTATTCTATATCTATATATTCATTTTATATTATTGTGTATGCCTTTATGAGACTTGATTGTGTGGCTATCAACTTGATATCTAGAATTTTTTTTTTTAATAACATTTTATGGATATTTAAAGTTAGTCCCAGGTAATGATTCATGTTCTCCACCTGCTTAAGCTATAAAGAAATACATTCACCCAACTGCAGCGATTTGTAGGATTTGTCTTTGAATTAGTACTCTGCAGAGGACTAAACTCATTCTTTTAGGTAAGAGTAATTTTGTACCATGTCATAGTGATCTTTATTAACAAATCCAATGGCTTTTTACATGAATGCTTTCATCTACTCATTACATATGTGTTTTGTGCTATTCTGAAATTTAAATACCGCATTTCAATAAAAACGTAAGCGTTGCAAAGAAACAAGGCCACATATACTTTGGACTGTCTCCCATGGTGTAGCAGTGACAATGCTAATCCGCATGGCGGCGCGCATATGTTAAAGACAGACTAGCAGCGGTCTGTTCACCGTCACGAGTACAACCAAAGAGGTCTCATTGAAGAAACAAGATAGTTCATGTCCTTTTATAACCTTCGGCATCCGCTGTCTCGGGAAATTCCTCGGACAAGTCACCGCGTGCGCACTCTATTTACTGTAATGTTTTCAACTCCATGATCTCATCACTACAGATAGTAACGGTTACCGCACCTATTGGACTGTAACGAATAGAAAGACACTAAAGTTTGGCCCTAACCCAAAAGAGGCGTTGCAGGCTGTATAACGGGATTTAAACGAAGGCGGAAGTAGAGGGCATGAAACCTCTTGTTCCGTTATTAAACCTGATCCAAAGCCTGAAACTCCTTGTTCGCGGATACGCGAGGCCCCCCTGACAGAACCACCTACCCTTTCTCTCTCTTTCTCACGGACCGTCAACCGTGAAAAAAAGCACAGTTCTTTGTTTTAGTTGTAGCTAACCGTCCCGTTTCCCCGGTTTTATTTAATCGTGCTGTATATCCCTTAACCATGGCGGCGAGTGCGAAACGAAAACAAGAGGAGAAACACCTGAAGATGCTGAGAGAAATGACGAGTTTGCCACCCAACAGAAAGTGCTTTGACTGCGACCAGCGCGGCCCAACCTATGCCAATATGACTGTGGGCTCCTTCGTATGTACCTCCTGCTCTGGCATCCTGTAAGTTTTCAAGTTGCTGAATGACCTCCTTAGCTTAGACATGGCGCACACGATGTAACGTTTTTGGTACGCTACATACGGCACCCGTTAGCCAGCTAGCCCTAGCTAACGTTAAACAGGTATCTGGACACGTTAGTGCAAGCGTGAGTTTAGCTCTTGTGACACTGTCTTGCTGTGATGTGTTGGGCGGGGTAACTTAGATAGATGTGTCTGTGTTCAGCGCAGCAAGCTAACATAGCAACCACCCTAGATGCTAGCTAAGTTTAGCTTCCCGTTCTAGCCAGTGCATTTATCTGCCACTTGCAAGCCAGGTCTACAGTAACTTAAGTTAGCCGGCTGCTGCTACCAGTTGCTGGAAACGCCGGGCCACTTTGTTACTGAGGTGACTGACTGATTTGGTTATGGTGAACCCCCCCCCCCCCACACACACACCCACCCACCCATAAAGAAAGACAAAGACACATGAATAAATATTGAAATGATCTGTTGGTCGAGGTCTCATGTTATATCCACGGATTTGCAAGTTAGCTTTTTGTTAACCTAAATATACTCCACAGGACCATGCCGAGAGTTATACATTTGATGCTACATGTTAAATGGTGGTAGACAATTGGGCGTGGGAAAGCGACATACTTTGGAGATGGACAGTGCGAATGTAATGCCGCTTTTCATGCCATCACCAGTGGTATTTAGTCCAGTCATCTATTTTTGCGTCAGATCTAACATCAGAAGTATTACACTAGTCTGTCTCTAAGA